GGCACCGTGCCGTTTGCCAACTTGTCTGAGTCCGGGGAGGCAGAACACTCACACACAAGGGACACGCAGCGGGTTTATGACTTACAGAGAGGAGCGAGGGACAGCAGAAGCCTGGGAATCGTTGCAAACCGGCCCCTCAAGGCACAGGAAAGCTGCCCAGGGTGGGTGGAGTCTTGTCTGTGTGTTCCCTGGGAGACAGCCCACCCTGGATTTTAAACCCTGGGGGCAGCGTTTCTCACTGGGCTGAGGTGTTCAAGAATATCCTGTTTTGAATGTCCTTCCAAGAAACGTCGTGTTATGGATTGAATCTTCATATCTCCCCCAAATTCATACTTTGAAATCCCTACCCCCAGCATGATGGGAGGTAATTAAATCGTGGGGCTAGAGACCTCATGAACGAGATTAGTGCCCTTATAAGAACAGATGAGAGAGCGTGCTTTCTCTCTTCACCATGGGGGAATACAACCGAGAAGACAGCTGTCTGCAAACCAAGAAGCGGCGCTCACCAGGTACCAGGTCTGCTGGTTCCTTGATCTTGAACTCCCCAGTCTTCAGAACTGTTGTTTAAGCCAAAAAAGAATATCCTGGTTTGGGGGTAGGGAGACTGGAGCAGAGCCTGGGCTCTTCTGGCGAGTTCCCTCCTTATCTTGGGGTGTGGCATCCCTGGCACATTCCACAGTTATTCTTGGGACGTACAAGTGAGAAAAGGAGAACTGGGTCAGGTTGGTGCAAGGCCACCCAGAGAAATGTCCTGCAAATGGACAGGTGGATCGGTGACAGGCAAGCAGACGTTCAGGAGTCTTCCCTCTCATTCCGCCTTCTGGCAGAGTGGGCGTATGATCAGAATAATCTGCCCCTTGACTGGAGGACTCTCCTGGGCCACAGGTTTCCTTTGGGTAAAGATTTAAAAGTACTGATCCAGTGTCTTTAATGGTTATAGGTCCATTCAAGTTTTCTGTTCCTCCTTGAGTTAATTTTGGAAAGTTACATTATACCAGGAGTTTATCCATTTCAACCACGTCTTCAGATTTATTGGCAGAAGTTGGCATGGTCCTCCTGCTCCCGTTTCCATCTCTGCTGACCCCGCGGTTGGCCCTTTCATTCCTGATGCTGCTTATTTGTGATTCCCATTTCATTTTCTCCATCACTCCCACCAGAACTTGTCAATTTAATCAGTCATTTCAAAGAATTCATTTTCAACTACAGTATCCATTTTTTTTTTTAATTTATTTATGTCTGCTCGTTTTGTATGTGTTTTCTTTCCTGTCTTTAGGACAACTCTGTTCTCTTGCTAACGTTTTAAATTGAATGTTTGCTTTTCAGCCTCATTTTCTATTATGTGCATTTAGGGCTATAAATGACCCTCAGCATGGTGTTAGCTGCACCTCACATTCGTGATAGGTAGCATCTTCGGTATTTTCAGTTCTAAGCATTTCCTAATTTCTGTTATGATTTCTTCTTTGACCCGTGAGTTGGTGTTTTTTAATTTCCAAACATAAGGGCCTGTGGTTCTCTTTTTACCAATTTCTAACAAATGGCATTGTGGTAAGAAAAGGAAGTCTGGTTGGCATTTATTTGTTCATTGGAGACTTGCTTTACAGGCTCATACGTGGTCAGTCTGCATAGACATTCCACATATGTTTGAAATAATGTGTCTTCTGCATCTGTTTTGCAGAGATCTGTTTATGTCCAGTGAACCAAGCTTGCTAATTGTGTTGTTCACATTTTGGTTTTCTTGACTGGTTTTCGTCTGCCTGTCTGCTGGATTTAAGAAAGATGTGTCAAAATCTTCCACTATGATGATGCATTTATTCCTGTCTCCTTCCAGTTCTGTCCATTTTTACGTTATACGCTTTAAAGCTATTTTACTAAATATATTTAAATCATTGCGTCCTTTAATATTGCACAGTAACTTTCTCTGTATTCAGTTACGTATGGATATTGAAGGTGTTCCCGCAGCCTTTGTCCTGCCGGGGTCAGTCTTCATCCCTGACGTTCAGCCTTCCTCTTAGGTTCCAGATGTGTCTTTTATAAACAGCGTAAGGCTGGACGTTGTTATTACTTCTTATGTCTAGTCCAGCAGCCTGTGTTTTAAGTGGAAACTTTGGTCACTTGCAGTGGTTGGATTACTTTTTTCTGGGTCATTTCTGCCGTCTTATTTTGATGTTTGTGTGCCCTGCTTCCTGCAGCTCGTTCTCTCTTCTTGCCATCTCCTGACGTGGCTGAGGTCCCCGCCTTCCATGTGTTCCCTCTGCTGAGTCCAAAGATGCACTGCCTCTGTCCTTTTCTTTCAGCAGTGATCCTTAAAAATTTGAACGTGCGTCCTTAACACAGTCAGCATCCTCACCCTCCCATAAAAACCACGGCCTAGACTGCTTTAGCCCCTAATAGGGTCACCCTATTAAATACAGGACGCCCATTTGTGCATCCTTGTACTAAAACGTTTCTTATTTATCAGAAATTCAGACTTAACTGGGGTCCTGAATGTTTATTTTCTAAGCCTGGCAGCCCCAGCTGCAGTGCCCTCCTCTGGGTTATGTGCCGTCACTGACCAGTATTTTTATTTCCCCGTTTCTTTAATTTCACTAATTAGACATCATTATTCTTATTACATGCAGTCCCTCCTTATTTGGGCTTTCCTGCAGTTGGGCCATTTTCTGTGCTCATTATTCCTTGTCATTTCTCAGTCTGTCTTCCAGGGTCATTTTCATTCTGCCTTAAGCAGGTCCTACAGAATTTCCTTCGGGAAGGGACTCACAGTCAGCTTCTGCAGTGTGTGTTTGTTGGGGTTGGGGGTGATGTCTTTATTTCACTCTTCTTCTCGAATGGCAGCTTCATTGGGCACATTATTCTCCACACACTGAAGACACCGAGTGCTGTCTGCCCACTCGTGTTGCTTTTGAGAAGCTGGCGTGTCACTGCCGTCCCTTGAAGATTGTCTATCTGCTTCCTCTAGCTGCTTGTGCAATTTCTTGTTTGTCTTTGGTGTTCTGCAGTTTCACTCTGATGTGTCTAGGTGTGGATTTCTGTTTTTGTTTTCCCTGCTTGGGTCTCGTTCCCTTCCTAAACCTGCAGATCAAGGCCTTTTATCAATTCTGGGGAGTGCGCAGGCATCGTCTCCTGTGACGTGGCCACCTCTCTGTTCTGTTCTCTCAGGAACTGAGTGGCCATGTGGAAACCACCTCCCTGCATCTGCCCCTGGACTCTGGGCTGCATTCCGGGTAATTTCTTTGTCTGTAGCTTTCGGGTTATTAATTTCCTCCTCGGCTGGTCTCATTGAGTTCCTAATTTGTACTATTATGCTTTCATTTCTAAGAGCTCTGTTTGGCTGTCTTCCAGATCTTCCAGGTCAGGGTCAGTCATCTCTGGTTCTTTCATTTCACTTTGAATACATATTCAACATGCTTACTTTATAATTTATAACTGATAATTTCAATATTTGTGGTGTTTGAGGATATAAACCTGCAGTTTTTAATAAGCTTATTATTTTTGGATAGTTTTAGATTTACAGAAGAGTTGCAAGATAGTACCCAATTTCCTGTGTACCCCCAGAAAATGTTCTCTATTTTAACATCTTACATTAGTACGAGTCGTTTTTCACATCCTGGAAACCAGCATTGGTTCATTGCTAAACTCCAGAATGTGTTTGAATATTGCACATCTGCCTCTTTTATGTCTCAGGGTTGATAGAGTCTGGTATGTTGTCCCCTCAAAGCACATGCTCGTGTCAAAGTCTGACTCCCAAGTGGCAGTGTTGGTAGGCGTTTGGGATGTGGGGTAGATCCTTCATGAACGAATTAATGCCCTCCAGGGTGTGGGGGACGATAGCGAGTGAGTTCACTCTGTTAGTTCCTGTGAGAGCTGGTTGTTTAAAGGATTCAGGCACCTTCTCCCTCTCTCCCCCTTCCTCTCCCTCTTCCTCCCCCTCGCAATGAGTCACCACGCTGGCTCACTTCTGTGTTGTGTGATTGTTTCAATTGGGAACCCCTGTTTCTTGGAACTTAGGCAGCACTTGTAGCAGCCTGGTTGGGGATGTGGCCCCACAACCTGCAGTCTCTCTGTGGAGCCTTCCCTGTGCAGAGCAGTGTCCGCTTGCAGAGAACAGAACCAGGCAAACTTGGGATGACTTTGTCCTTTAATGTCTGCCCTTACCGATTCTGTCTTTGGGCACACTGGTCTGCATGAGTCTGTTCTCCCTAGGTCATCCTGCGTGGCCATTCCAGCCCTGGCCTGCACAGCCCATGGTCTGACCCCAGGGTATCTGGGGACACTGGTGCTCACTGGCCTCCCTGTCAGCTCCAGCTGTGTCCTAGAACCAGCAAACCTCCCCTGCTTTTGTAGCCTTGTCCAGTTATTTAAAGTGTTTAAAATTATTGTTGTGTTTTTGTGATCTATTTCAATCAACCATTTTAAATTTTTGTGCTGCAGATATTCTGCTTTGCCCTGTTGCCCTATGATGTACTTGTGAATGCATTCCCTGTTGTTATCTGCTGCCAGGACTGAGCGGGGAACTTGGGGCCAAGTCCCTGTCTATGACAGAGCTGCTCACTTCCTCCTGCCATTTAGGCCCCCCCAAATTATCGGAAGAAAGCCAAGATCAGGAGATGTTGAATCATTCTTATTTACAAGAGCAAGTTTATGACAGTGACATTTCCAAACTCTGATACCATTTCCCCTAATGCAGCCCTGTGGCATGAAGAATAGACGCCAAGCTGAGTTCTTGTGCACCAGCCCACTCCCGGGACCGTCCTCGATTGCAGGAGCCCACAGACACACCTGAACATCTCCTAAACTGCCTAAAGAAAATAGTTGCACTTTTGTAAAATAAAAATATATAGTAAATGCCAAAGCCACATCTGGCTTTTTAAAGTTATCCCCTCTCCTCTGGGCAGATGCACTCCGCGGCCACTGCGGGCAGGAAGCGGGTGCCATCTGTGAGCTCACTGTAACGCTCGAGCGGGTTATATTAACACACTTCATATTCGCTCTTTTTTTTCCAGCTCGATCCTCTCCCAGAAAAGGTTTTACAGCAAAGACCCAATGCTAACGCTGTGCGGTCCATGGAGAAAGTCGTGGAAATCCACAGTAAGTTATTGAGGGCTCCTGGGGCAGGAGCACCCCTGCACCCACGCTTTCCCCCAGGCCTGTGTGACAAGGCCTCGCTTAGCCCCAGTTGGTTTTCCACAGCCTATAGGGTGGTATCATCACCTCCTTTTTATAGGTCAACAGAATTGAGGCTCAGACAGTCTCAGCGTGAAGTCACTTGCCCTAAGTCCCCAGCAAGTGAGGGTGGGCCTGGCTGTGAGCCTGTATCTTGGAGTCTGGTCTTGTCCCTGGACCAGAGAAGTCCACCTCAGTACAAGGAGACCCGACCCACACAGGGTGCAGGCCCCCATATCCTAGCACTCCCCTCAAGCAGCAGAGCCTGGAGGCAGGGATTGTCACACAGCCAGGTGACTCCTGCCAACACACCAGTCTCAGGTGTACCTGCCACACCCTGTGCTCATCACAAAGCCCATTTTGTCTTGGGCCTGTGAGATGACCCACATGATTGAGACTATCCGTAAGCAGGTGAAAAGCAGAAGTCTGCTTCTGTTTCTCTTCGTGGAGGCATTTAGTTTCTTGCCTCGAAGCCCTGACTCTGACATCAGGGTAGGCCTGCCCTGTGTGCATACCCCTCATGTCAAGCCTAATGTGGTGACTTCCCCACCCCCAGCACCAGGCGACAGTCCCCCACACTCGCCTGCTGGCCTGCACCCCCACTCCTGCCATGCATGGAGGAGCTGTGTTGTTGAGGGCCAGGACCGACGGGAGCCCCCACGCACAATCCTAGGTGGTCCTGCTTCCAGGAGGACTCTGTTCCCCTAGCAATGGGAACATTTCCAGAGATGCCCAGTCTTTGTGTGAGTTCATAACCCTGGCCTCTGTCTCTTGAAAGACGGTTGCTTTTAAGTCACAAGTGTCCCAGGGCCTGCGGAGACCTTCCGGCCCGCAGTCCCTGAGCCGCCTTCCTTGCCCCAGGCAAGTACTGGCGCTGCCTGCAGCGCGCGTCCCCCACGCTGGGGCACTCCCTGATCGAGGCTCAGAAGCGCGAGAAGGAAGAAGCCGAGACAGTCACCGCCATGGCCTCGCTGTCCGTGGGCGTGAAGCCTGCTGAGAAGAGGTGAGCGCCTGCCCTCCACCCTCCGCCCTCTGCCCGGCGGGCTCTTCTCTGCAGGCGGCCAGAATATTTACTGCTGACGCCCTGCCCAGAGCACCGGGGTGGCCCTGTAGGGGGAGGGACATGTGCTGACATCCCCATCCAACCCCAGAACACAGGCCACTGTTTTCCAGCGTGGCCCACCCTGTCCTGTGCGAAGGCCCCTAGAAATGCTGGAAGAGCAGGTGGTCCTGAGCAGAGGGCCTGGGCCCGCCTGCAGGGGGGCGCCGTGCAGCACAGGCTGGAGCGGGCGGGGGCCACAGCAGCTCTGCGGACAAGGGCCACGCGCAGGCCGGGGACACTGCCTTTAACCCGCTGTTCGTTCCTTCCCTCCTCTGTTGTGCACCCGCCCCCCTCTCCTCCTCCTGGGGACGCCACAGACCCGACGAGGAGCCCATGGAAGAGGAGCCGCCCCTGTAGCATCTCCCTCGGCGCTGCTGTTCTCCTGTTTGTCTGTCTGTCTTGAAGCTCAGCCGAGACCCTTGCCTGTGTCACGCCTGCGCCTGCCGCGGCGCTCTCTCACGGTACAGGGACACCCGGCGTGCAGCAGCAGCAGCAGCGGGGAGCCTTTCTGCCACCCCAGGCCCACGGGTCTCAAGACGCACATGCACATCTGGGCGTGGCAGCATCACGCGGAACACGGGATAGACGCCGGCGACGAGCAGACGCACGGACCGCGGAAGCCAAGCCAAGCACACTCTGGCGGGTCCCGCGAGGGAAGCCGCGGAGGAAAGAAGCCTGTGGCAGCTTGTGCCCAATTTAGTTGACATGAGGAAAAGAAAACGAAAATCAAAGATCTAATAACACAAAACAAACTTGATTAAAACTGGTGCTTAAAGTTTGATTATCATCCACGATTCCACAGTCTCCGTGTAAACCACTCGACTCATCTTGTAGCTTTTTTTTTTAAGAGAAAGTTTTCTATGGCTCTGGCCTGCCTCTGTGAACCGTAGCAGGGCGGTGGGGGCTCGCAGCTGGGAGAGGGACAGAGTGGACGGACCTCTAAAGCAACAAACTGGACAAAAACAGAGATGTGAGCCTGGGGGCGTCGGCTTGAGTTTCTCAAAGCCATCGGAAGATGCAAGTTTGTGCCTTTTTTTTAATTGCTCTGGTGGATTTTTGTGGCTGGGTTTTCTGAAGTCTGAGGAACAATGCCTTAAGAAAAAATAAACAGCAGGAGTGGTTGGGCCAGCCTCCCGTGGCGGGTCGAGGCTGGCAGTGCCCGGTGCCCGGGCCGGCCTGAGCTGCACGGCAGGCCCTGCCGCCGTCTCCGAGGGGCTGTGGCCCAGCCGTCCTCGTTCTGCTTTATTGCTGTTTAAGAAAAATGGAGGTAGTTCCAAAACAGTGGCAGATACTGTTGGGGGTTTTAAAGTCCAACAAATTTTAAACAAATCCAAAGTGTTCTTTTCTCATACGTCACCTAGCAATCGAGCATCTGCATTTGGCTGTAAGCATGTCGTAGGCACACCTGCAGTGTTGCGATCGGAATGCTTTTTATTAAAAGCAAGTAGCATGAAGTATTGCGTAAATCTTAGATATAAATAAATACATGTATAATATATATTCCAATGTATTCCAAGCTAAGAAACTTGATTCTTACGAAATCTTGATAAAATATTTATAATGCATTTATAGAAAAAATATATATATAATAAATGCAGATTGTGAAGGTCCCTGGCGAATGGATGACTCGCGCATTAGCTCTAAAGGTGCTTATGGAAAGGGATCTAGGCTGACGCGTATTTTGAGCTCCAGATTGGCCGGCTTTCAGATCGCCAACACGTTCGCCACTGAGCAGCTACCCTACAAGTTTGTACTTTAATTTTAATTATTTTCTAACAGAACCCCTCCCGTCTCCAAGCCTCCGTGCACATATGTACCTAATGAGTTTTTATAGCAAAGAGTATAAATTTGTGTTGATTTTTTGTATGAATTTTTCACAAAAAGATCCTGAATAAGAATTGTTTTGTGAATTTTACATTTTTCCTCACCATTTAGCAGTTTTCTGAATGGTAACAATGTCTAAACCTTTTTTCTTTCTAATTTCTTGCTTGTACCTTTTATTTTTTTTTTAACTTTCAACGGTTTGTTTCCATTATTTTTTGCTTTTGTTTACTTTTGTACAGTGAGCAGTTTTCTGCAGAGCACGGAACTGTTGCCGTCAGTTTATTTTCAGAAAGTGCACATCGTGTGGGGAGAGGGGCCTGCGGTCTTTTCAGAGTGACACTAGTGACCGTGTCTTTCCCAGTTCTGTCCCAGGAGCTGTGCGAGGAAGCCCAGGGGCTCTTACCTTCAGCACTAGTAGTGGGTTACCAGGGTGCTGTGTCTTCCCCTCGTGGCAAGTGTGGGGAGGGTCCAGCCTCTGGCGTTCTTGCCAGACCCCGTGGGCAGTCAGCATTAATGACACTCATGTTTAAACTTCTCTGGCCACGTGTCAGGATAGGATTCTAACTTCAGTGTCCAAAGACCTTTTCAGCATGTCAGCAACGCACGGGGCATAAGTGAGGCTCTTCCCCCATTCCGGGTTTTTCCACGGCAGCCACACGGCCGGGGCTCTGGCTGGAAGCAGCTAGCCCTGGATTTTGGAACCTGTGGCTGCCAGGAACTGAGGGGCCCTTGCTGCCTGTCGAGCCTGCAGGAGAGTGCAGATTCCTGACCAGGACAGCCTGTCTTTGCTCTTTTTCTCTGTGACAGTAACTAACAGTCACTTTTTACTGGTAACTGATTTTCCAGCACTTGAAACCACCAATTTCATTCCAAAGTTTATCAAGTTGAAGCTTGTGGGCGGAAGTTCAGTCGCACCATGCTCAGGAGGGACCCCACGCCCCATTTCTGAGTGTGTTTACAGGGTAGGCTCTGAAAGAGATACTGGCTCAGCCAGACTTTTGACTGTGTCAGAGCGACGTCTCGGATCCGCTTGGTCGTCGGGCTGCTGTGGGTCAGCTCTGAGACAGTGGTTTCAGCACAGGACAGAAAGGTCTTGGGACTTGTTTCTTTCCCCTCCCTACTGGCTACTGTTTTCTCCCAAGCCTGAGTTGGCGCCAGAGCTGGCGTGTAGGGGCCAGCTCGTCCCGTTCCCCACGCGAGGCTCGGTGGCACTTCTGTCCCCCTTGGCCTCGTTCCCCACGGGGCCCTGCAGAGACCCACCCCGCCCTCTCAGGCCACCGTGGCACACAGGGAGGGACAGATCATCTCACTTTTACAGATGAGGGGATAGCGTGGACACGCGGTGGCCAGGTTATCACTGGAGGGCCTCATTCTAATGGCCCCGAGGGGAGCCGGCCTGTGTGCAGCCTGGCGGGGCAAGCGTGCTCGCCCGGCAGCTCGCTCCAGCTTCACAGACGTGCTGCAAGCGTCACCGTGTAGCCTTTTCTTTTCCCTGAAGACACACTCGGCCTTCGCCGCGGCCAGCGGCCAGGCAGAGGGGCTGTGGCCAGGACCGCACCAGGGAGGTCCCTTCATGCGCTTCCCTCCCGGGTCCTTGGACCTTTAGCCTTTTTCTTCCTTTGCAAAGGCCTTGGGGGCCCTGGCCGGGGAGTCAGTGAGCACTTTATATCCCTTCGTGGGAGACCCCGATGACGCCACCGGGACTCGTGGTGTCCACCTTGGCCTGCGGCTTCCAGCTGCGCCACCACGTGCCCATGCCCACCAGCAGGCCACCGTCCCAGGAGGCCGCGCCCGCTGGGACCGGCCGCCCCTCCCCGACGTCCCGTGTCTGGTGCGGGAGGGCCACTTTGTCAAAGTGTTTCTGTTTTTCTTTACTTCTTTTAAAGATCTGTTTCCAAGAGGAAGGACCTTTTTGTGATGGTCTGACACAAAAGCAAGTCTGGTTTTTTGCAGCAGCAGCGATGGCCTTTGTTGTTTCTGTTTTTGATCAGAACATTCCTCCTTTGCTGGTCACGGCCACGTGGCCATTCCATTGTTCTTTTTGTAGACATCGGGCCCACGTGTTTCACGGGCATTGATACATATATAAATATATAGATATAAATATATATGAATATATTTTTTTAAGTTTCCTACACCTGAGGTTGCATGGACTGTACGACGGCATGTCTTTACATTGTACACAGATTTTGCACGCCAAACTCGGCAGCTTTGGGGAAGAAGAAAAATGCCTTTTTTCCCCCTCTCATGATACTTGCAGATACAAAAGATGGGAATTTTTCTGTAAAACAAAACAAAACCTTGAAGGAGAGGAGGGGGGGAGTAGGCATCTTATTGAATTTATTACTAAGAAATTGTACTTTTTATTGTAAGAAAAATGAGAAGGACTACTTAAACATTTGTCATATTAAGAAAAAAAAAGTTTATCTAGCACTTGTGACATACCAATAATAGAGTTTATTGTATTTATGTGGAAACAGTGTTTTAGGGAAACTACGCAGAATTCGGAGTGAACGGCCCGTCTCTCTCGAGTTGATTTGGAGGAGTTTTGTTTTGTTTGTTTTGTTCTGTTTCCTTTTATCTTCCGCAGGGCCAGGCGAGCGCCGCCCGCTGTCCCTGGCCTCGGGACCGTTTATCTGAGTGAGAACCGGGTGGGCTCGGAAGAGCCCCCTTTTCCGCACAGCTGTGTTGACTTTTTAATTACTTTTAGATGATGTGTGGCTAAGATTTCACTTTAAACTAAGCAGTCGTGAACTGTGCGAGCACTGTGGTTTAAGATTCTATTTGCATCGAAAGGAAACCATTTCTTCATTGTAATGAAGCCGAGCCCCTCTCTGCTCGGCCTCCCTTGTCTCTGACATTGATTAAAAGTCTCCTATTGAAAGAAAAAGAAAGCGAACAGTTTTTGTTTGTTTTTCTGGTGTGTGTGCTCCGTAGTGGAGGCGCTATTTCCCAGTTTATGAGGATGACAGACTCATATGATCTATACACATAAAGGGGGGCTGAACCGTGTGCACCCAAGAGCTCACGACAGACACGTGGCAGAGAGCAGTCGTGATGTCATAGCCTCCTCGGTGCCTGTCCGCGCCCAGCGTGGGCTCCGCACGGGTCGCCACTACCAGTTTCTTCTGTAATTTAATCTGTTTTCTCTTGGATTGTCTGGACCTTTCCAGTGGTTCTTTTTTTGCTCAGTGGAGTTGGAGGTTTCGGTTTTCTCATTCTTGTTTCGTGTGGGTGGATTTTCATCGGCCAGCAGTGTCGTCCTCTGACGGTCAGTTTCTATTTCCACTTCACCGGAGTCCAGTATTTGTACCCACCTGCACTTGCTACTCTTGTGGTGTAAATAAAGACTGCGTTAATTGCCCTCCCAGCTCTGGTCTCTGCCGTGCGCTCTCTTCCTTGTGTCGTTGGCTCTCATGTGCCTGGGACCCTGAGGGACTGACCTGCCAGCACCCCAGGCCTGTTCAGTTGCTGGGTGGGAATCATTTGACCCCATGGGGAGGCCCCTTGGACCCAGACCCAGGGACAGCCCTGTCACCCTCTGCCTGTACAATCAGGTCCCGTGGGAGTGTCTTCATTTTAAGTGTCCAGTAATTTGAATCTGCACTGTTTTCTCCCCCAAAATGCTTTGCAAGCCATGGTGAGCTGGGCTGGGGACCATCTCACAGGTGAATGAGGCTGAAGGGAGAGGGGACGAGGGCCCTGGCTCAGCCCCCTGCCCGCAGCCGGGCACACAGTCCCTCTGAGACTCCAGTCTGCACCCACCAACCGTGGCTCCCTGGCCCTCCTGAAGCCCACCACCACCCCTAAGTGACCACTCCACTTCCCTGGCAATGCCACACCCCTTCTCAGGCCCCAGCATCCAGTGACTAATTAGCTGGGGGAGTGTAAGGCCCTGGCCACCTCTGTCCAGCTTGGGACAACTGCGTGCCCTTGTGGTGCCCACATTCCCCCGAGGGCCCTCCTCTGTGAACACCTTGCAGACCAAGATCCACCTCAGTCCCTTCCTAGGAGCCCAGCCCCCCATACCCAGGTTGCCCCTGAGCCCCAGAACGAGACAGCTGGAGCCAAGCCGCCCCCGTGACCTCCAGACTGCCCAACACCGGGCGTGCCCGTGGGCCTGTGGACATAAGAAAGGCCTGGAGCTCGAAACCGCTGGGCCTGCAGCTGCATTGCAGCCATAGCCAACAGATAGAGAGGACAGCAGAGAGGTCAGGACGCCACCAGAGCCTCTCCTGCTGAAGGCTGCTATGTATGAGGCCACAGAGATTACCCAAAATCAGAGGATCTCACCCTGCAGGACTTCTCATCCCTAAGACAGACTGGAGGGACAGGACCCTGGGCAGAGGGTGAGTAGCTGCAGGGGTCCCTGGGCAGCTGGCCCTCAGCCACAGTGCAGTATAGGGTAGGGTTTTTGCGGCACATCTTTTGGGTCATATCTGAAAATTATTTTTTAAGGATTGTTACAAAGCATTAATTACCTTTTAAAATCATGCAATACCTCCACCGCGTGAGGGAGAGAACATAACAGACCATTAAGACTGCGCACGTACCCAATTTTGCCTTAGATTCTAACAGATAAGATGCGGCGGACGCAGCGTGGCTCGGGACCGTCCCCTCCCCCGCAGCAGCCACCGTGCTGGGATGGGCCCGAGGACTCCTTGCCCACGTGTCTGCATTTGCGCTGCACCGTTTTGTCCGTATATAAGAGATCTTAGTGTACGTTAGGTATTTGTCGCATGTCATGTCATGCTACTAGTATTTTTTGCTTCTTGCTTTTGCCCCGTGGCGTGTCATTCACCCTTGCCACCCTGACACGTGCATCTCTAGGTCGCTCATCTGAAGTGCGTGTAGCATGTCGTTTCACGGCTGGTGCGGTTGTACAGCCCATTCCCCTTTTGAGAGGCAGGTAAGTTGGTGACGATTTTTCTCCAAATAGGTGTGAACTGCACACCAGTGTACGTCCCAGAGCACCTTCGGGGTCCTGCTCTCCACGCGGCCAGCTCTGTGAGGTGGCAACAGTCACCCTCCACAGTGACGGTCCCATTCTCACTCCCGCCAGCACTGACAGGTTCCATCAGGAGCTGGGTTTCCCACGTTATCATCAAAACCTACTATTACTAGACAGTTTAACTTCAGCCCATCTGGTAAGTGTGAGTAGGTTTTTGTCATTATTTCACTTTGCGTGTTTACTGGATAAGTGCGTTAGTTATCTACTGCTGTGTGACAAATCACCTCACAACGTGGCAGCTTCAGACAGCAGACATTTATCAACTGGACTTAGTGGGTCAGGAGTCTGGGTGCCTCGGGCTGACGGTCTTCCTTGAGGTTCAAGTCTGGTGGGCGGCCAGCGCTCGTCTGAAGGCTCAGATGGGTGTGGGGGTGCTGGGCAGGGGTCCCCCTCCACGCACTCTCCATATGGCACCTCCACAGGGCTGCCTCACATGAGAGAGAACACCCCCAGAGAGAAGCCACAGTCTTTGTGACCTGATCCTGGCAGTGATGTCCCATCCCCTCTTGATGACCGCCACTGAAGGGGAGCCTGGGACACCAGCCCACTCTCTGGGAAGGGGGTTCCCGAGGACACTGACTCCAGCAGGCAGGATCCTCAGGGCCGTCTTGGGGCCGCGGCAGCCGTGTGAATCTAAGGTGAGGCGAACCCCAGACGTCTCATCACATCGTCTGTAAACATTTCAGTAGATTTCCCTCTAAGACAAGGACTCTTCCCTCAGACATAACCTAATAGCTTATTGTGTTTTCCGGTAGTTCCGTAATATGAACTGCCCAGGCGGTGGTGCGATGTCTCCAGCTGTCTTGGCTTTTGTTTTGTTTGTTTGCTGGTTTCATTTTGGTCTTCATCAGGATTCAAAC